ATATATATAACTAAAATTCAGCTATCCCCAATCTCACCCCGTTGACACTGACATAGTACTATGCATGTTTGTGCACATGTATGTTCTGGAGGTTTATTTTTTTGGAATGTCGGGAAGGGATAATATTTGGTTGTAGGGTTGTTTTGGTTTCTTTTTTTTTAAAACCAGTAATCTAAATATTTTAAGTTATCCTTTACTGTTATATCAATATGTTTTATCCCATAAATTAGAAAAGAATAACATCTAAGTCAATCAAAGGGAAACCATTTAAATTCAGATTAATAATTCAGCAACACAAGAACCAACCCACTCAATCTCCTGAGGACAGAATTTCAGATGGGTATGCCCATGCAGACATACAGGGCCAAGTTTTCAATAATAGACACTCAGGGTCAATGAGCAAGAAATGCCCATGCAAAAATTGCACTTGCAGTCAAAGGGAATAAATCTCTCTATTTTAAGATGCCACAGAAAACCCATCCCTAGTATCAAAATGCTTCCAATGTAAATCAGAGCTGCATGGCAAAGGGCCCTGAGTCTTCTGCTCTTCTCAGGGCTCTATGCAAGCGTAAATTGATAGGTTGCCACCTAACAATTTCTACATTCAGTTAGTTTGCGCATGGACTTGCAGCAACTGTGCATGCAATCATGGATGCATTTTTATGCAGGCATGTATGGTGGCAAAGGATTCCGATTTTGATAATTTGGCTTTACAAGTCAAATTTGCAAAAGGAGGGAGCCACTGGTATGCCCAAAATGTTTACACACCACTTTTGCCCATGACAACTCACATTTGTACATGTTAATCAAGCAGTGCATATGCAAATAGGTAGCTAGATGTGCAGTTATCAGTTTGGGTGCACAGATCAGGTATTTATATACCACAGTGACAACCCTGGCACAAATGCCTAACTTGGACAGACAAATATAGAATTTACAAACACACTTAACATCTCCTCCTTTAAAGTGGTTGGACAAAAGGAATTGCTAGTCTTGCCTTTTGCAGTATTATGTATTTTTCAAAAGGACACCAGCCAGCTAGTTTAAAATAACTTTTAAAGTCAATTTTTTCCTCATTGTTTTAATAACCTTGTAGAAGATTGATATTGAAAACTGTTTCCATGTCAGAAACTAAACTCTCCCTTTGTATGTAGGCACAGGGAGCAAGAGCCTCAGCTGGTTCCTATGACATCAGTGGAACTACGTCTATTCACACCAGCTGAGGTTCTGATCCATCATTCCAATTGTTGATTCTTTTGTTTTTAATTAGTTCCTTCACTGTACACACACACACACTGGTTTGTTATTGCTTTTCATTGTTAATCCTTTGTATGAGCGCTGCTGAGAGTGCTTGGTTGATTTGTTTTTTTAAAAGAAGACTGAAGCAACAACAAAAACCATTGAACACCACTGGGGGAGGGGTCCAGAAGTAGGGCAAATTGTGCAGTGTCCCATTTACATGCTTGTAGGGTGACAGCAAGGAAAGTGAGGGCAGAAGAACAGCGTGCACTAGCTTGGTGAACTTGTACTCATTTTTAAATATATCATGCTTTAATGAAGAACTCTGAGCTCTAACAACTCATTTCCTTCTCTTTTCACTCTGGGAATTGATCAGAAACAGGGAGAAAGAATAGCTGCCTCAGCCTGTGCTGCATCACAACAGGACACGGACTGAACGCTAAGAAATGACCAGATCACTGTCTCTGATCTGTAACATTCTGCCAGTCCCAGCCTTTGTTTGGAGCAAGAATTAAAATCTCAGAATGTGATTAAACTCCAAGAACACTGATCTCTCAGAT